TGTACAATACATTACTAATGTGTAATGTACTGCTTCATTTCATATCTTTAAAAAAAAATATTAATAGTAATATAAAATATGCACTGAAAAAAATTTTGATCATTTCCAATGAATGATCATTAAGCAATATCCGACTTAATGTCCAACTTAATGTAATTAATTCATTGATAACTGGAGTCATTTATATTCATTCTCGCAATGAATTCTAGTAATTCTAGTTTTATAACCTGAATCATTAAGAATTCATTGGACCAATTTTTATGAATTTAATGAATATTTTATTGTATTTACGTACAATTTTGGTTCAGAGTATAAAATAAGATATATATACATATAATATCAAAATTATCAATACATCGAAATAGAGTTTCATAGAACACAAGCACACATACACATACATGTTTAAAATATATTTTCTCCTTTGTTACATACTATTATTATCTAGTAGGTAATGCATATAATAATGTATATAATAAAAAAAAGTTATGATCGATATTCATAGTTGGTTCTTATATTTATGATCGTCTTAAGTACAACCTAATTAAGATATCATAAACTTGCAATCATATATTAGAATCCATATTAGAATTATAAAATATTACTTAATATGGTCTCGAAATAAGAACCGACTATGAGAATATTGTTCTAAGAAATTAAACCGAAGTATTTCGTTTTAAACTGCAAAAAATTGTGTTATTCCAGCAATTAACTTGAACATCATACATAATTATTCTGATAATCTAATAAAATTATTTTCAGATCCGTTATCTAAATTTTTATTTACTAAATCATTCTGTGTAAAATTAAAAATAAATTGATATCGCACATAAAGATTGGATCATCTAATTTCATAATTAAAAATAGATCGATATCGAACACAAGGATTGAATCATCTAATTTCATAATCTTTTGATGATTATTATTACAAACGACATCAATGTCTAGAAATAAAATGTTATATAATAAAGAGATAATAAAGCGTGCAGAGTGTATATGTGTGTATATGTGTTGCATCTTTCTACAGTTACGTTTCTGGCCGTTGCGTTGGTGTCTTCATGCGAGTTACGAGGAGGACAACCATGCAGGCCGAACAATGATCCCAAAATGTCCCCGTGCTTCGGTTAAACCGGTCTTTAAGAGGCAAGCGAGGAGATCGAACCCGTGTCACTGTACCGCCTGTTTACTGTACCGACTCACTTATTTTCGGTCCACGCGAATTCAATGGCAAGCGACGCTGGCGGTAAGCCAACGGCGCCAAGACGCTGCTTTAATCATGAACTCCTTCGATAATTTCACTCTGATTTAATAGCACACCGATACTTCCGTTACATCAATGTCAAACATTATAATCAAAAGTATTTGTCATCTTGAGTGGTAGCAATTAAACGATTAATGGAAAAGCATTAATGAAGTATAATAATAACTTTAATAAACTCGATTCTTGACATGAACAGTAATTAAAAATTGCCTGCCATAATTTGGCTAAATGTGATGTCCAAGTCTTAAAATATTTCTTACCGAGGTTAAAATTGTAAGATAAAAGAAAAATTAAACTAAAAAAATAGAATTTACATTGCTATAATATATAAAGTGATTTATTGAATTGTGAAATAAGCTCAACAAATGATCAATGCTAATAAAAGTGGTGTATAAAATTCTTTATCAAGCGTGTATATTTATTATTTATATTAAAATTATATAATACTATTTATAGAAGCTATTTCAGCAAGAGACATGAATAACACAATATAACACGCAAGTGAATATGGGCGCATTCAGCGAACTCAACCGCTCGCTGAGCGTTCAGTGAGCTGTTGTATCTGTTTGGTCTATATTTTTAGATCTAACAGAATATGCCAATCAGATGCAAGAATTCACTGAGCGTTCAGTGAGCAATCGTGCTTCTGGATGGATTATATCCCTGTTTACCAATGTTAAACAAAAATGAAATGATTATAATGTTGTTATACTGTCTCTTGCTGGAAAACATCATATATGTTAAAACACTGTACATTATTTTTTTAAATTAAATCATATATTATAATATATATAAATAAAATGAATATACTAAATACATGAATACACTAAGTACATGAATAAAGAGATGTACCAATTACAAAATACAATTCCTAATGCCAATATAATTTAACCGATGTAATTGGTATTTTTAAGTTAATTAATTCTGTTTCAATATAGCTATGCAAATTGAAAATTGTTTACGAGATTTTGATTCTAACGCTTTAAATAATCATTTAA